GATCGCACCTGCGATCCCAACTAGTCTATACCAAATCCTCGCATTTGCGAGCCCGCACCTGCAACCAATCCCTCCGCAGGTGCGAAGACACCTGAACCAGCCCATCATCAGCAAATTCCCTAAGTCCAAAAATGATTTGATTTCCATCTGATTCATCTTTGGAGGCCCCGGGACCCCGTCCGAATATACCAACAAGTCCTAAAACAGGATACGAACTTAGTCGAGGCCTTAAGTCACATCCAACAACACCAAAAACATGAATCGCACCCCAATTCAAGCCTAATGAACTTATAAACTTTTAACTTCTACATTCGATGTTGAACCCTACCAAATCAAGTCCGATTGACCTAAAATTTTGCACATAAGTCATAAATGACATTACAGACCTACTCCAACTTCCTGAATCGGAATCCAAATCCGATATCAAAAAGTCCACTCCCAGCCAAACTTTGCAAAATCTTCCAACCTTCTAACATTCGCCAATTAACGTCGAAATGACCTATGGACCTCCAAATGAACATCCAGACACTCTCCTAAGACCAAATTTGCTCTACGGAGCTACAAGAACCGACAAAAATCCATTCCAGAGTCGTCTCCACACAAGTCAAACTACAATCAACTCCTAAAACTCAAACTTCTAATTTACGGACTATGTGTCCCATTCCACTCCGAAACTCACCCGAAACCAAAACCAAATATCCGGGCAAGTCACGTAACCATAGAATGAAAAAAAGGGAGAAATAAATAGGGGATCAAGGCTAATACTCTCAAAATGACCGGTTGGGTCGTTATAATTTGGTATTAAAAATACATGCACACACTATCATATTTTTAGAAGGGGTCTCTTAATAAAAATGGTCAAAACCCTAAAAACATAACACACCCCTCATTCTACAATCCATAGCCGACACCCACTTAATATCATCTCATTTTTCTCTCTTATTTGGCGAAAACAAGAACAACCCCCCTTTTGCTCTATTTCTGCCGCCCATGACCACTAGTCGCTGCTGCCGGAGGTGGTGACCGGCCAGGCGGTTACTTCTCTCCATTCCACGGCAATGAGATGATGGCTCTCTCTCCCATCGTCTCTTTCTATTTTATCGCTTCCGCCGCCTAGATGCCACCGGCGACCATGTCTCTTCTCATCTTCTTCATTCTTATTTACAGATCTAACTATGCACGAAACAAGATCCAGAAAGATCTAGTCAAAAATTGCATTTTTTTGGCTTGAAAGAATTTAACCGGAAATGCTCCGGCGATTCTTGTTGTGTTCTTGTTGTATTTTGTTATTTTTGCCGGTCATTTACGTGTAAAGGTGCCGCTGGTAAAACCTCGACGGACCGAAAAACTTTATTTCGGTGAACCGCTATTTGGTCACTACCCTTTGACCATATTTTCCAGTGACTGCTTAATTTATGGAACTACCGTTTCATTTGCTTCGGTTGTTGTTTAATCTCGTTGCCTTCCATTGGTGCCACTGTTCCGTTTGGTCGTTTGATCCATTGTCGCTGCTGTTTATTTTGTGAATTTTCCAGTAGTCTCTCTCTGTTCCGTTCGACCGCATTTAATTTCGAGGGGGCAACATTTGTTTATGATCTGTGCTGTCGCTATATTTTCTGTTGGTTTGGTGGCATTTCTACTTGCTTGCTGTAATAACCATGTTGTGATTGAATCCGTCTTTTGTTAGTTGCCGCTGCTTGTTTCCTTGCTCTGCTATTGGTATTGCTGTTGTGACTTCATTGATTTGAATGAATACTACATTATAAGGCCGAAGAGAATAATGTTTTGAGGCCACGTCGCCCCGAATGACCCTCCGAACTAGGCCCTAAATAACGAGGCAATGATGATAAATATCAAAAAATAAAAAGACGTGAACGCGAACCAACAACCTTTGAAGGGCGACACGGTTGGCCACCGGAGTCGCAACCAAGGCGGTTCCCGTTCTCAGGTCTAGAGGGATATTAAACATATATATCTGAGCCTCCTATATTTTTTTAAACTATTTTCCAAAACTATTTTCCAAAAATAATTTTCCAAAAATATTTTCAAACTATTTCCAAAAATAATTTCCCAAAAATATTTCCAAAAATAATTTCCCAAAAATATTTTCAAATAAAATCATTTCAGAATAAATTAGTTTATTGTTTACTTTATATTTTACAAATAATTTCACTTGTTTTGCCCTGCGGGGTACTATCATATGAAATCGCTTTCTAAAGATGATATTTGGAGAAGGATTGAAGATGAACCCTCATAGAATCCCCGCTTCGTACTTCTCATTCTCGGATATACTCAAAACGTAAAATATAGTAAAATAGTAGATAGATGTCGTATTTGCTTGCTTGCTTTGATATTTATCTACCTGCCAAACATTTAGGGTGAATTGCATTTAGTTAATAATTCGGGTAACTTGTAATGTTGTACATTGGATAATTCACATAATTTGTATGTACACTTAGTGTAACGACCCGGCCGATCGTTTTGAGAGTATTAACCCTGACCCCCTATTTATTGCTTTCTTTGTGTTATACTATAGTTATATGACTTGCCGGGAGCTTTGATTTTTGGTTTTCAGAGCGAAATGGGACACATATATAGTCCCTAAATTGGAAGTTTAAGTCGTAGGAGTTGACCATAGTTTGACTTGAGTAAAGACGATTCCGGAATGGAGTTTTGTTAGTTCCAATAGCTCTGTATGGTGATTTTGGTCTTAGGAGCATGTCCGGATGTCGGTTTGAAGGTCCGTAGATTGTTTCGGCGTAAATTGGCGAAAGTTGGAAAGTTGGAAGATTTTAGAAAGTTTGACCGGGAGTGAACTTTTGGATATCGGGGTTGGATTCAAATTCCGCAAGTTAGAGTAAGTCCGTAATGTCATTTATGACTTGTATGCAAAAATTGAGGTCAATCGGACGTGATTTGATAGGTTTCGGCATCGAATGTAGAAGTTAAAAGTTTATAAGTTCATTAGGCTTGAATTGTGGTGCGATTTTTATTTTTAATATTGTTTGAGGTGATTTGAAGGCTCGACTAAGTTCGTATCGTGTTTTAGGACTTGTTGGTATATTTGTTTGAGGTCTCGGGGGCCTCGGGTGAAGCTCAGATGATTATCGGTTCAAGTTTAGAGTTAAAAGGGGTGCTGTTGCTGGAGTCTTCTGGTGCAATCGCACTTGCGGAGCTTTCATCGCAAGTGCAAGCTGGGAAGTGCAGATGCGGTCAGGAGTGAGAAAGGATGTGGTCGCAGGCGTGAAGGATTGTCCGCACCTATATGGTCGCAGATGCGGAGAGGTAGAGCGCAGAAGCGAGGGTTCATCGTAGGAGCGGAAAGATGGTCGCATCTGCGTTTGCGCAGAAGCGGAGCATTTTCCGCAGGCGCAAGGGCTTGGTTCCAGTGATTCACCACAGAAGCGGAAGGATTGTCGCTTCTGCGACACCGCATATGCGGCTAAGTTGTCGCAGGTGCGGAAAGACTGGGCAAAAAGGGAAAAATTGAGGGTTTGATTTCATTTTCATTCTGGGACTTTGAGAGCTCGGATTGAGGCGAGATTTTAAGAGATTTTCAGAGGAAGCATTTGGGTAAGAATTCTTGACTCGTTTTTTATTAATTCCCATGAATCTACTGTTAATTACACCTTTTAATTATGGTTTTGTAGTTTAAAATTGGGGGAAAAGTGTAAAAGTTCTTAGACCAAGTTTTTGGGTTTTGAAAGGCTACATGAAGTCGGATTTGGATAATTCTTGTATGGTTGGACTCAATATCGAATGAGTATTCGGATTTTATGTTTTTGGTCGGGTTCTAAGACGTGGGCCCGAGTCGACTTTTTGGAGCGATTTTTCAATTCTTAGCTAAGTTCATTATTTCATTATTTAAATTAGTTTCCTATAGTTATATTTATAGTATGAAATTATTTCGGCTAGATTCGAGTCGTCCGGAGTTGGAAAATCGAGAAAAAGACCTTCTAATTGATTGATTGAGCTTGGTTTGAGGTAAATGACTTTTCTAACCTTGCGTGGGGGAAATTCCCCTTAGGATTTGGTATTTTGGTGATCACTTGTGATATGTGAAGGTTGTGTACGTAAGGTGGCGAGTGCGTACACGGGCTAAATGTTGAAATTACGATTTTTGCTACATAGTTTCCTTTTCATGCCTTAATTGAGCTATTTTAGCACGTTATAGTCATCATGTTTAGCCTAATTTCACATGTCTACTTGTCGCATCTCCTACTTGCTACTTGTGTAAGATGTTTAGTTGAATTACTTGCTTTTCTTGATTTCCGTATTCATTACTTAACTATGGAAATTCTTTACTTGAAATTGCCATCCTTGGAATACTATTTATTCAGTTGTTCTGTTTTGGCTTTTGTGTTATTGTTGAGGTGATTGTTTGGTTGTTTGCATGAGGTTTCTGTCGTGCTGCTGTTATTGTTGCATAAGGTTTCTGCCGTGTGGTTGTTATTATTGCACGAGGTTTTTTCCATGCCGTTGTGATTATTGATACGCATGCGGTGGTATAAGGTCTGGGTGTTGAAACACATACGGTGTGATAAGGTGAGCTTGATACGCATGGCTAGTAGGGGAACTACTAGAGACCATACGGTATGATAAGGTGGGCTAAAACACGGGATGTTATTTCGGAAAAATAGTTTTCAAAACCCAAATATAAAGGGTCCCGCAGTGATATAAGGAAATATTATGATTTGTTTTTACGATTTGGGACTATGAGGCGGTACCTGGGGAGTGCCCCTGCTGATATTCTTTAATTGCTGTATTATTTGGTTATTGTTTTCCTTAACATGTAAAATTCTTATTTTTCTTTCGTGTTGTATTAGCTTTCATTGATTCCGTGTTGTTATTTCCCGTAATTTCTTTGTTGTTCACTTCCCTGTCATTTTCATTATATTAGATTATCTCTATCTTGTTTCTTATTATCCCAGTAGGGACTTGACCCGACCTCATCACTACTCTACTGAGGTTAAGCTTGGCACTTACTGGGTACCGTTGTGGTGTATTCATACTATGCTTTTGCGCATGTTTTGTGCAGATCCAGGTACATCCTATCAGCCTCAATATTAGTGCCCTGTATTGTTGCTTTGGAGACTTCAAGGTAAACCTGCCCGCAGGCCTCGAAGTCCCCTTCTATCCCATTCTTTTCTTATTTTTTTTACATTTTGATAGACAATGATTTATAGGATTGTTCGGTACTATATCTACACTACTAGAAAATAGACCTATCGCAACAGTTATTTAGCAACGGTTATGTAAACGTTGCAATAAAATATCTATGGCTACGGTTGCAACCGTCGCATATTCCTCTCAGACCTACTGAGATAGGTAGCAAAATAAATTGTTGCATTAGGGATTAAACCATCGCTGTAGATTGATGTATAGTGACGGTTCCCTGAACTATTGCAATAGATGCATGTTTGGCGACGGTTTCTGAAAAAAAAAAAAGGACTACTGGGTCGGTTGTGCTTTCCCTTCCCATTTTCCCTCTTATAACTTTATCGCGCCTTTTTTTTTTTTTACAGAAGGGAGACTAAGCGCCTGAAGGAAAAACAAAAGAAAAACTAAAAGTCCTAACACATATACAAAGAACAAAAAGCCTAAAGTTTGATACAAGCCCTAGACGAGATAGCACGCTGCCGTCGACACTAAAGATCGCTTACCACCTGAAAAGGCTCACGGGAAACCAAGAGATTAAGAGGTTCTTCTCTCTCTATCTCTCTCTTTCTTCAAAACTAATTTTTCTTCTTACTTATTTGCTCTCATTCATCGACATAGAGCTTTTACCTAGTTTAAATTTACACTAGGTAACATTCCTTTTATATACTTATTTATTAATTTATTTATTTTGCAAGTAAAAGACAAATTGGAAATAAATTATTAGGGTAGCTTTTCTATATTTGTCATCTTTAGTGTGCAATTGGATCTGGTGCTGATATTAGTGATTTTTTGTTCGCTTTTATTATTACCCGTGGTTTACAATCAAAAGCCTCTACCTTTGTTACAATGAGACAAAGCGCAATAATTGGTTTTTGAAATGGGGTCTCAATGTTTCTGCATATGTTTTCCCAAAATTTATGTGTATTTCACCCAAAATAAGTGAGGCAAGTATGAAGAAGAGTATGTATCTGAAGAACTTCTTATGTTGTGAATCTGCGACATAGAGTTGAGTTATTTATGCTGCTGAAATCAAGAAATGTATTTGACAATTGATAATTTGGCATCAAAATATATGCCTCACAAAAAAGATTACATTTAGATACAACTTTTCTCCATTCTGCTTTTTGAATATTTTCTGATAGTTGGGGAGATTGTAGTATAATTTAGCAGAATAGAGTTTGGGTCGACGTCACAATGTTTCATATTATTTGTTGTTAGTAAACACTGCAGAGAACTCTCTAACAAGTTGTGCTATTCCTGAAAGTTCAATAAAAGCCCACCAAAGTATTGAAAAATATGAAAAACGCATCCCATAATCCATAGCTACCAAATTTAGCAACTTGTTGAATTTACAGGAGAACCAAATGATCAAGAGGAACATGAAAGCAATGAAGACCTTACCTAAAGATATTGGTTGTAGAATCTTCAGACAATCTAAGAATATTTTTATTTTTGAATTATTTTGCAAACTTATATATGCCAACTTTTGGATTATTAAACACTTTTATCGTATATTTTTCTTTTATCTTGGTTGTGTATTTTGAATTATGATTTTGTTGATGAATATATTTTCATTTCATCATTTATATATTAATTTCAGTGTATGTATTATATATTTATCCTGTTGCGATAGCTCATAACAACTGTTAATAGCACCAAACAACCGTTGCAGTAGCTCCTTATAACCGTTGCAGTAGCTCATTATAACTGTTGCATAAGCTTTAATAACCGTTTCAATAAACAAAACAAAAACAGTGTAAAAATATTGTAATGTATATAGCAACGGTTCTCAACCGTCGTAATATACATATAGCGGCGGTTCAAAAACCGTTGCCATAGCTCGCTACTAATCGTTGTAATTGATCATAGTAAAACCGTCGCGGTAGATGTGCCTATGGGAACGATCAAGAAACCGTTGCTTAAACATAGACCTATGCGACGCATGATCTCTCAACGAACCCTAAACCGTGGCACTAGGTTTATTGCAACGGTTTCCCTTCCTATGGCAACAGAACTCGTGGCGTTGCCATAGGCCTATTTTCTAGTAGTGCTAGAGCTTGTGACTTATATCTCACCAGGTCTTGGGATTGTACATACTGAGTTTTGGTAGATTCTATTTATGAAAATATTGGGATGTTCAAGTTTTAATCTCTTATTTAATGTTTCCGCATATTGTTAGGCTTACCTAATCTTAGAGACTAGGTGCCGTCACGATAACCTACGGAGAGAATTTGGAGCCGTGACACATAGGGTGTCAAACATATCTTTAACTGGTTGATTAATTAGGATTTACATTCACATAATCAATTAGGTTGGCTGTATATCCGAAATAAAAACATGACATCCCCTTTTCATAAAGATAAAAATAAATCATTTTATTGTATGTTCTTAAAGTTATACTAGCATGCTTCCCGAACCTCTCTATATGTAAATTATTCTTTAGTTACTATACTTCGAATAGATATAATTGTATAGAATTTGTAATTGAATTATTGTACCTCAATTGAGAGAATTAGGCCTCGTAGTCATTTGGGTTTGGCTCACATAAGTTGTGTTTCAAGACCATGACTCTAAAGGTGGCCTTTAGTCATTCACTGAAATGATAACTCATTTTCGGCGCAAATAATTTTTTGTATTGATGCGATGATTTTCTATGTCAAACGTGTTGATGTATTTTTCTTACACCATATTCATTCTCTATTCATCAAATTCATTTTTTCACCTTATTCGTTGTATACTAAGGTTATTCAAAGTTTATTATTTTTTTACCTTTTGCTAATCATTTAGAGTAAAATTTTATTTTTTTACATTTAGCTTTTCACTTAAAGGGTTAATCTTTGTACATAAATTAAATTCTTTTAAAGTGTATTCTCCAATTGATATTCATTTGGTCAAATCTGCAAATATTTCATTCACCACTACATGCTATCTTACATTTTTCTTTCTTTAGCAACTTCTTATACTTGTTCATTCATATTAAACAAATTTCTTTCACAATCCATACATTAAATTAAAGTGCAAGATATAGTATTCGTAGTTTCTTTAACCTTGTCTTGAATTATTAATTATCTTTTAATAATTTTATATTTTAGTCAAATCATATATTGTTCCCTTCTTACTTAATCCATTCTTTAAAATATTAAATTGTATTCTTCACATCTTGTGCACCAATTTCAAAAATGAAAGTCAATTCATACATTTTTGTTATTTACTTTTTACCACATATGTACATAAATATAAACATATTTCATTATTCATTTGCCATAATTAATTGTCCTTTAGTTAATTTATTTTCATAATCTTCTTTTAAATATTAATCAACTCTCTTCTTACCCTATTCATGACGTAAAAACTATCCAAAGATAATTCCTTTTTCTACTCTTCATCAATCATTTTCTAGACACGTTTTCTTATAATAGTTCATCTTGATTATAACTAAATTCTTTTGAGATTATTCCTTTCAACTTAAAGTCATTTTGGTTAATTTGTAAATACTTTACTTGATGATACACTTCACTTAGTCATTAAAAATTCAACTCTTTCACATACTTTTTTTATCCACATCCTTGCACATATTCTGTTGCACATAAATATCCCTAGTTTTATCATGTGACATTCACATTCAATCATTCTTCATTCCAAATTATTTTCATGATTCTTTGTAAATATTAAATTAATCATTCTTTTGAACCTTCCCTCATTTATTTGATTGAGTCCACCTGAACCACATTTTGTTGATCTTGCGGGATGCCTAACACCTTTCCCTCGAGATAAATTGAACCCTTACCTAAAATTTCAACGGTTTTGCAGACCATAATTAAATGTACATTACATAGTGTAGTATAGGTGTCCTAGTATACCTTAAATACTAGGTGGCGACTCTAAACTTTAATTTACATTGTAGAGTACTATAAGTTATACATTATTTTGACTTGTGCAAAATAGGGTGCAACAATGCCTAGAATCATTTTTCAAACCGAGCATCACCTAAAATTCCGCTTCAACTCACATACTGGGTAAGTTCTACACTCAATCACAATAACATGGACTACACAAAAACTCACTCACACATGGAACATGACACACCATGGACGGTTCCATTTCGACTCTCAAACTAATGCAAGTATTCACAAAGCCACAAGATATTAAGCATTAAGCACAAAGTGAACAATAGTCAAGTAAAAGAGACGTAGGCGTCACAAGACATGCTATCCAATTTCATCAAGAAATCATGACCAATTTTAAAACATAGGAAAGATACTCCACATGCCAAAACTTAAATATGCTACTATCAAACAAGTCAAGGGCACCTAGGTTCATCAATCTTCCTCCTTTTATTTGCTAAATTCCTAATCTACTCTAAGAAAAAGAACTACTACCCGGTTCAAACTACATCCCATGAAAAAGAACCGAGGCACAAAGAAAAATCACGGGAGATATTTACCACCTAAAGGAAAATAAAATACATGTTTTTGAATTTTTTGTTTTTCAATTTTTTTTGTAATTTTTTTTGTTTGACTTTAATCCCTCAAGAAAGTTATCCATAAGATCCATCGTCGGGAAAAGTACTAAATTTTATGAATTGTGTTTTTTCATTTTTGTTTTTTAAAATAAAAAAGTCACTATACTAAGAAAGAATACTACAATTAAGCTAGGATGACATAGAAAATCACCCAGACAATCTCCTCACCCCACACTTAAAATTGTGCAATATCCTCAATGTACACTATAAATAACAAGAAGGTAAAAGAGACTCTCTGGTAGGCCAAAGGACGAAGCATTAGTAGCTCATGAGATATTCAGACTTCTCCCAGGTATGATCCTTTGTGCGAGTACCTCACACTTAGTTTCAACCGCTTGCTCACTTTTGCACACGTTTATTGGCTTTGACTCCATGTTCCTACTCCTATAAAATACAAAAATAACACTACAAAAGAATAACAAAATAAAAAAATCAACAAAAATAAGAGAAATAGTAGAGTTGTGTTGCATCCCAACAAGCGCTTGATTTAACGTCGCAACATGATGCCATCACTTTCACCACTTTTCCTTCCACTTTGAGGATATGATTTGCGCCCCCAATTTTGCATTACTTTTTCTGTCACGTTCCTGGGACGGTGGCGTAAAAATAAAAGACCCAAGCAATATATATCGCATCTTGCACTTCTTGGACCTTAAGTGAGGTATGCTTGTTTTGTCTCCTTGGCATCACAAATTCCAGAATATATGTACTTTGTTCCTCATCCATTGACTCCTCCACAGGCTCTAATGGATCAATTCTAATATCACTATCCATACACATTGTTGAAAAGTATTTAGAATGAGGTCCAATACGCTCCAACACTAAAAATGCTTCACTTTTAACATCCACACTTTTGCACACTTCCTTAACCTTGGCATCATAAATAATATTTTGGTCGAATAGTTGGAACTCTTCTTTTTGCTCCACCAGCTGGGCAGTATCCACAATAATTTGTTGTTGGGCATCAGACGCCTCAATCTTTTTATTCAATTGAGCCTGCAGGTCATGGATAGTTGAGCGATATTGGTCTATCTCTTGCCTAACCTCAGTTCTTCCTTCTATCAGCTGTTCTGTCATATTTGAAAGACCATTACGTAGAACCCCGTGAAATTTTATTAGCTGAGCGTGTTCCTCTAGCCAAGATTGGCTCACTATATCTGCTTCTTCAACTTTTACCTCTTGTGAGAGTTCTCTCTCTTCGTCGAGTTGAGGTTGTTCTTGAAAATTGGCCATTAATTCTTCCATTCTAGCCTGCAGTACTTTGATTTCTAAGGCAGTCATTTTTTGAATTTCATCTTGTTGCTCGGCTACTTGCCTCACCATGTCCATAATTTGAGCAACGCGTTCCACATCCTCCGCATCAAAGCTCCTATCAAACTCACAAATATTATTAGAAAAATCATAATAAAAGCTCAGAGAACGATAATAAGAATTAGGACAACCATCGCAATAGCCACCTTGACCACCACACACATTACAAATATTCAACTCATAAGATTGAGATGGTACACCCAACTCGCTCCAAAAAATATTCTCACAATTTTGCCACAAGTGTGGTCCTCTACAATATAGACAAGGAATACCAAAATAAGAATAACCAATATTCAACCAATTCTCATTCTAAGATGCCATGTCAACAAAGATAATAAAATATTAAACTAAGCTAAAATAAAATGTAACGACCCGGCCAGTCGTTTTGAGAGTATTAGACTTGAACCCCTATTTATTGCATCCTCTATTTCATTCTATGGTTACGTGACTTGCCGGGGAGGGTCGGTTTTTGGTTTCGGAGTGAAATAGGACACGAAGTCCCTAAAATGAAAGTTTAAGTCGTAGGAATTGACCGTAGTTTGAATTGTATAAAGACGACATCGGAATAGAGTTTTGACAGTTTCAATAGCTCCGTATAGTGATTTTGATCTTAGGAGCGTGTTCGGATGTTGATTTGGAGGTCCG